TTTTGCTGTTGAACCTTGGGACGTTATAATGATTCGAGGTAAATCGGACTTGCCATGACGGTCGAATCGACTGAGAGAGCTGCTTTTTGCCACTTTCAATCTTCCTTGCGCGACGGCTGAGAGGGAAAGGTAAAAAGGGAAAAAAGAGGACGAGAGTCGAAAAATCTTATTCTAAAGTTACCTGAAATTGACTGCGAAGAGATTAATATTCCACCGATCAATCTCTGAGATGTACAGATGCTGTTCATCCGCCAGCGATTATTTTTATAATTCGGGCCTGTCAACAACATAGTGTTATCATTTTAGTAATATTCTATTCTTGCTTAAAATTATAAAAATGTATGTGAATTGAAAATATTTACAAAATAAAAGAAAAACTTAGGAAATTAATACAACAGTAATACATACTCCTGTATAGAAAAAATTTAAATTACTGCATCTGTGCGTATAAAACAGATGTTCACCATAGATTGCGCTCTCGAATGATCACAGCCGAGTAACAAGTAAAAACCGCCCAATCAAGCACATTTGCAGTCGGTTATTATAGAATACGATAGCGCGTCGAAAATCGATTCTTTCGACTCTCGTCCCCGGATAGAAGCGGCGATCGCACAAAGTGCGTGACCGTGTACAGGCGCAGAAGGTAATCCCGCAGTTAGATTTCTTGCCCGCGCGCGATGCAGGAAGCCGAGATTCCCTTACGTCCGTATGTCGAATCGCTGAGTACCGATCGATCGGCTGGGCACCGTGGAAGTCGGATAACCGTCAATTTGCAAAAGGGGTGTAAGACGAGCGTCGAGGCCGAGACGAAACGCCTCGACTCGACGGCGATCGACCCGATCGAAATGCCAGCACACATCGCGATGCCCACCTTCCCTCTTCAGGGTCGAAAGGCGGCTGGTGTAATCGATGCTGTCGGACGATCGAATCGAAACGGCGGCTGCTGCCAGTAGCATCTCGTAATGATAGGCGAAGGCGACGGACGCCCGATCGCCGGAACGGACGTGCGCCCGTAACGAAGTAATTCGATCGTGTCACGAAATCCGCTTCGAGTATTTTGTTACGCCTGCCATTCCTTTCGCGAATCTTTTAAGTCGGCACAGCTGCTGCAATTTCGATGTATTTTCTCGCTGATGCAACAAACAATACACGATGAATAAGGCAAGTTTGCTTTGTCCTGACATCATCAAATTATTAACGCCAGCGTAATTTTAGACGTACATGATTCTCAGCTAAAAGTTCACATATATGTTAAATCGATCCGATTAATGAAATCGATGTGATATTACAATTCGCCATAATGGAAATTCGTAGTATTATTGGACGCTTAACGACCGCTTGTATTCTACCAACGGGATAGCGACGTTACAAATCGATCGAAGCACTTTAATCGGCGATCGACACTGTGTCCGATGCGAAAAGTGTAGAGCGGATGGCGGCAGGGGCGGACGAGGATGTTATTCAAAAGCGATAAAATTGTCGTAGTGCATGTAATGACAAACACATGCGTTCTCACCCCGATCCCTGCCCCTCCGGGGTGACGGTCATACAGGCCGCCCTATCGGGCCGGATCTATATAACGCGGCATATGTTTAGGTCATTAATTAACATCTGGAACCAATTAAAGTAATTACGAATTCGACGATAAAATATTGCTGCACGCGGAGCCTACTAGAAGCGTTCACGCGGCGACGAGCGATTCGGAGTCTACGGCACTACACACGCAACAAAACCGAACCACGTCAGTTTTTGCTAGACATCCGTCATGCTGAAGGCGATCGATTGTTCTACGAAACTATAACGGGGATACTTATATTGCCGCTATAGGACAATGTAAAGTTTCCTCGCTAACATTACGCAGCCGGTCTATTATTCTCAATATCGCGATCTCGTTGCTAATGGTATCATTACTATTCGTTTCGAGAAATTTGGTATCTCGGCAACAATTGCTCACTTCACTCTAATGTGGAACAAATCATATTTTCAATCAATGCCAAATATATCAAGAAAAAGAATGTATCTCCTCGCAATTTAATTTATTCATATTTTTACATTAGAAGATGTCAAAACGTTAACACCGCATCCATAATGCGATTCTTATGTCATAAGATTTTTTTGCAAAAAAAACGCGTCTCTTGCTTCCGGCGATTCAAAAAAAAAAGTACAGGAAATATAAATTAGCCATACAACGTAATGTAGTTTAATTACAAAATAAGAATGTGCGCTTATCGCCATCCGTGCTTATTTGCAACCGTGAATATTTAGCGCAATAATAACGAGATGCATCAACGCGATAAGCGATTTGACGCTATAAATCATCGTCGGCAGAATCTTTTTCGCTTAAATCGCGCGTTACGACCACTCGCGCTCGATCGTTCGGGACGTTCGAAGAAAACCATTATTCTCCAACGACTTCCGCTGTTAATATAACGATCGCGGCCGTTCTGCGCGGGAGAAGGATCGTTATCGGCGATCTTCTCTCGATTCTCTCTCTATCGGACCGCGAGTCCTCGGAATTTCCCCCGCCGCGACATTGTTTCCTGATGTGCGTCCACGTGACAAATATGCAGGATGCTACCAGACGGTCGGCTATCGATACGCATCCGCCATTCGAACAGCTGTATATTACGGCTCGCTCTCGGATATGTATTTATGCTTCCCGTATCATTTCGCAATTATCGATAACATCGTCAAGGCTTTTTGCAGGAAACAATGGGTCATTACTTGCCTGCTGTAGCCTGATGTCTCTGTTTCTCCTTCTCTCTCTCCTTGTGTCTCCGACTTCGTCTACTTGCTCCGCGCTCGTCCTCACCTCTCCCGACTGCTCGCCGATCGCGACGCCATATGTGTGTCTCACGAGACGTCACACATTGATAAATCGATATACGCCGATGCCGCGCATATCGCTCGGATATTCGTGTTTACATAAGCCGCGAAAAGAATCCAATGAGCAAAAAAGAGCCGCGCGCGACGAGCTATCATTGGATTCCGCTTATATCACCCGTTAACGTTTCATGCAATTCACGTCAAATTTTTAATCGAATAATATTAGTTCTATTCACAGTAGCTGCATTTTTCTTCGAAGCTAATATTATCTTACATTAACTTAACTACTACTTAAGTAAGAGTTCGACTTTGGTTAACATTATGGTCAATTTATTTTTTTTACGCGACTATAAGTAATATAAGATAAAGAGATAGAAAAAGCAAACTGTAGTTAATCGAGATTATTATCGTGAAATTATCGCTCAATTGATGATCACGAAAGTAAGTCCAGTTTCCTTTCCGATGCCGCGCGCCGGTATAGAAGCGGTATAACCTGTTTGATTCGAGCAATCGATCCCGAATCCCTTCCTGGGTGCCGTCTATCGGATTGCCGCGGACGCGGATGAAACGGAAGGCGGGGAAAAGTGAGGAGAAGCAAAAGAGTCGCGGAGAGGACAGGAATTATAAGTGGCGGGGGTGACTATCCGGCGTGTATAGGCGATAGGCCGGTACGAGGACTGCACTTTGAATATAAAGGCTACTATAATTAATATTCGAGGCCGGAGCAGGGCGGCCAACAATATTTATTAGATACTTTACGGAGAAAATTTAAAAAGGTAATCCCCTCTGTGCTTATCCGTCGACGATGCCTTCGTTATTTTCGTATCAACGCGGGACTCTCTCTTTACCTGCCGATGAACTTTGATTTAAAAATGGCTGTTCATATCGTGCGTCTCCGCGCTTAAGACAGTCGTTTGTGCTCCACGGTTGCTGGAGGTAACATCGCGGTAGACGTGTTAATTAACGAGCGCTTTGCCTGCCGATCCAGCAAAGGCAGACGACGCAGTCGCCGAAAGTATTTCGTCGTTAATGGTCTCCGCGCGAGAGCTGCGCCTTCGCCGCGCTCGCGAGTGCGGTGCTTTTACGCGCCGATATGCATGAGCGGCTTCGAGCAGAAACGCACGCTACGACATGTGAGGCCTAATTATCATGACTGACGTATTACAGCGGCAACGATGTTTGCACTACGTATATTAACTAATAGTTAAACCCGCAAGGATATTGATAATGATATATAATAATTCTAATTGCAATCGTAATTGCAATTGGCCACGTGATGTACAATATATGATACGCATAGTGAAGAGAAAAATAGTTCTCGATCGCGTATACAGCGCATATGAATGTATATTTCTAACGCGGACCGTGCTACACAGGTGGTTCGATGTATATATATCATATATATATATGAACTTCCTCGTGCAGCTTTATAAATTCCGGTAATATTAAAGAATCATGTTGCAGTGCGACGGTATTATAATGTTCGCGATCTAAGAAACTGCGACGCCAACTCGCTATTTCCTGCGCTGAGAATATCAAAGCAGTCTCGCGCAGCTCGACGGGCTGTCGTTTCTATTTTTACCGGCTTTTCGTAGCCGCGAAATTAGGTGCAGCCGGCGAGAATTGATTGATTTCGCGTCACACGGCTCTGCGACTACGTTAATTTAACGATCGGGACCGCCGTGAAAAATTCGCAAAGACTGAGCGCAATCGTCTGTGTCGTTAATTTCAATTGCGTTGCAGTATTAAACTTCTTAGTTTAAAACAGTACAATCGCGTAAATTTTTAAGCGTCTATGTCTCGGCGATAAAACGTATAGTTTATTATTATTGGATCAAAATCGACAGAATTTTTCGTTCTTTTGTTAATTAGCTCTGAAAGTGTTCGCCGAATGTTTGCGAATGTAAAAAAAAACTCATACGATGCATTATATCGATATCGAATTGATAAGAAGTGCCATATCAGTATCATTCGTTTATATCGCATAATATATGGCGCGACTGTAATTTAACATAACGCAATCTTTGTCTCTCATGTGCTTAAGTAAGTTGATGAGAAGATTAAAAATGCGAGTTCGAGTTCTCGTCGAAGGAATTACTGCTGATATGTTATAAATCGCGAATGCTAACGTTCGCAAAACACTCATTATCTTCTCTCTCTCTCTCTTATTTCAGAGAGCAACTTCGGCGGAGAAAGAAATAGCCGCGCTGAAAGAACAGCTCGCCGCAACGAATGACAGCAATTCCAAGACTGAGGGACACCAATTGTCTCAGCCTCCGCAGGGAAGCGATCAACAGCAGGTACACGATGCCAGCAATCCCAGAAGGACGCCGAACAGCAACCTCGAGCAGGAGCTGCAGGCCAAAGACAAAGAGGTAAGTCGAATCAAACTTGAACCCTTCTGCTAAAATGTTGTTCTCTCACGTAACGTTATGTGAAATCTCAATGTTTGAACACTTTTTCCGTCTTCTCGATACTCAATACTAAAATTAATGGCTAATAATTTATTAAAAAAAAAAAAATTTAGCGCAATAAATCGTCTCTGGTCAAATTATTAGTAATAATATCTATATTTTCTCCGAAAAGTTTTTCTTAATTAATATCACCGTAGATTGTAAAATATCGTTGCTCGCGGAAGGGTTGATAAATCGAACGTTCGTTCACGAACGATCGCGCGGCTTAACCAACTAGGGGTTACAGCGTGCAAAACCACCGCGTGTATGTTAGCGCGATATCCGCGTGTAGACATGCGTGAGCCGCGACGTGTCGAGGTGGATGACTAACGTTGCTACTCGTGTTCGATATCCGCATTCGGTGGTTTATTGTTCCTCTCCTTCTTCATCCGCCTACGCATTCTGTTCTACGCAATCACGTCCGTATACCGCACGCATATCTGATACTCACCCCTTTATAATCTATTGATGCCATCACACAATTTCGAATCGTGTATATATTCCCGAAATTTTTCAATTAATAATTACAATTTCACAAATTCGAAATTTTTTAAAGTTTTTTCTAGGACTTAGTATTAGTATTTATTATTAATAAAAGAGCAACAAATATTCTATTAAATCTTCAAAATTATTTTATTACAAAGGATATTACAAAAAAATATGATTTACGGTTTCAAAGATTTCGTTGAAAGCTATTCACTGATAACAAGTGCTCCGTGCAACTTTGTGCAGAGGCTTATATTTTTTTACCGCAAATTATATTGTATATTGTTACAAAACGGAGACTAACATATGAATTATAAAGATAAAGGCTTGCTGCAAGTTTTGCATGGCGTATCGCATTTAAAGATAGCAGCATGATTGGCGTACAAACGGCAGGTAATGAATTCGGGCGAGCCGTTTCACAACTCTCGCGTGGCATTTTTCCCGCGAAAGAGATACACGATCGGGACCTAGATTCGCGATAAACGTTTCAAATTACTCCAACGCGCTGCCGCGGAACCACGCAAACTCCTGCTCGGGGCTATAAGTAGCAAACATGTAACTAATGATACCCGATCAGCCATCGAAATAGATAACGAAGTCAATTTAGAAAAGCGTCGGAGATTGCGCCGGTATCGCTCTCCAGCATTCTCGTTGCCCGTTAACCGCGATCGCGTCCCAGTTGAATAGGTACATCTCGATATATATTTAGTAACGACGGTATGTCGACGACTTTGCGCTCAATGCGCGGCATGTCTGGCCTTTCGAATCCGGTCACTCGCTCGGGTCGTTAAAGCGCCGGAATGTGGCGGACCTTTTATTACAACTCGTCGGTCCTGCGGGCTTTCGAACCTCGCCCGATAACATTATTGTATATTTATCGGCAGGGTAAATAACCGAGGAGGCGGGGGAGGGAGGTGGACGTGCTACCGTGGTTTTGGTTCTCGGTAAAAATAGCCGCGCGACGACCGTGCAAATGTCTCCGAGGAGTCGCGCTCGTCTAACCGCCCTCTGCAATCTCGAGCTGCAAGTGCGCAGCTGCCGTGCGACGCGGATGAATGGAGATAATGATGGTCATCTCTCACTTTTACCACCGAATATTCGATCTAATAAACTACGGTTGTCTCGTAGAAGAGACGGACGACTCCGTCTTGCATTTTGTTTTATTTAAAGACAGGGGGCATCGCGCGAGGTATGCCGAGTCGTTATGCTTTCTCGCAGATGTGCAATTAAAGCCGATTAATTGCAAGTACTTGCATAATTATGTGTAAATATATACTGCTGTGAAAATGGTTTGTCTTGTTGTGTCTAGCATGGCGCTAATTAAATGAATAGATTTGATTCTTTGACAAGATTTATTATGTCGAAAAATTATTAATTATATGCAAAGATATGTATAAATTGTTGGAAATAATATGAAATCCAAAGATAATGGCAATTCATAAATGCTACGAAAATATTTGTATTACATACTATAGCTTAATCTGCGAGTTGAAGAGGGCATATAGAGCTTTCCAAGTTAATAAATCTTCGAGAGGTAATATAGAATACGAATTATCCGTCGCTACTCGAAGCCTTTTTTCCCTCGGAAGTGGTCAGGAAGAGCCTAAGTGGTAGTTGCACCCTTTAGTGCCGTGCACTTTGCGTGGTTTACGAAGCGGCGTGCAAGGAGGTCGAGCCCGTAAAAATCTTGCGGTAAAGGAAGAGCAAAGCGGCGAGGAGGATGGGAGGAAGCGGAACCTGTTAAGGGTGTATAATGCGGAAGAGGTGAAAACGGCGGCGCGGAGGGGGCGGGTGAGAGAGAGAGAGAGAGAGAGAGAGAAAAAAAGGGAGAGAGAGGTGTACAACACGAGCCCTTAAACAAAGCCAAAAACACTTAAAGCGGCGCGCGCGTGAGAAAGGAGTGATAAAAACGCCGCTAAGAGTTCAATAAGTATCCTTCTTAGAGCCAATAACAACCACTCCTCCTTTTCTGTCGCCTTCAACCACCGCGTCCGCCCTTCCTCTGTTCCCTTTGCGCCCACCGTGTCTCCGCCGTCCCCGCGCGAGGAAAATCGTTTGCTTCGAAGCCTTCGGAGAGCCCGTTGTAATCCCGGAGCCGATAATCTCCGATCCCTCCTCTTGTCGACGTCGTATCCTTAGTCCTTGTTCGTCCATCCTCTTGTCTCCGCGGGTAGCAAGGGGATGGCGTTTCTGTTCTCGTGCCTTTTAACGGATAAGAATTTGCTCCCCGGACAATGTCTTTATTGAGAAGCCATCGCGCGCCGTGAAGAGCGCCGGAATGATTTTTATTATTCGTCGATTAAAGAGAGGTAATGGCAGTTTCAAGTCCCCCCTGAACGGCGGGATGATTTAAGGACGATAATGAGGAGTAAATAATGCGATAGTGTCTCCGAAAGGGGACGGGAACGTTTCAGAGAGGGGCGGTCGCGCGATACTCGGGAGTACGCCCATGAATTATGGAGACTTCAGAAGTACGTTAATTTATGACGGGTCGATAATTATATCAGACATGTGTCGATGTCTCTCCTCTATATATATGTACATCGCGTAGCTGGATCTTCTCATTATTCCGTTAATAGTTTTAGAAATCCGATACGTGTCGTTTGACTTTCTTGACTTACCTTTAACATTACAACATTAATAATTACACGAATTAAATATAAATTTCACAATGTCCTCGAACATTTTATAATACTAACATAGTATGTGTGAAGCTGGCGTATCATTTCGCGGAAACTCACAAATAATTAAGAGTTCTGATTTTATTTTCAATAGTTCTAGAGTTCCTGATAGTTTAAACAAATAGTTCTGGCCATTAAACCAACGAAAATGCCTCAGGACAAACTGAGACGCCAACTTCACGCAGCGTCTCACTTTGTCCTACATTTTCCTTGTCAATAATTGTTGGAAATTGAAAGATTTATAGTTCTACAAGAGTTCTAAGAAGAGTTCTGCCTTCTAAAAGCAAAAAAATATCAATAAAGATAAAATAAGAACAAGCGAATCCTTATATCTATAGATATACAGATGAGACGCCGGCCTATTTTCAAGAATTCTGTTTATTCCAACTTAGCTCTTGTATAGTTCTGGGCATGCACAATGCCTTTCCAAAAAGTTTTGATAGTTACAACAATTAGAAATTAAAAAAAAAATTATTTTGTTTGAATAACGTATCTTTTCGAGTATAAAGGTGAGACGCTGGTCGTATTTCGATAGTTCTATCGATTTTAAATGACATTTTGCGTCAGGCTGTAGTCACTTTTCATTTCTATGAAGAGTTCTATGCGTTATTAGAATGTTAATTAAATAAATTAGATCTTTTGAAGCGCTGGACGTATAAATACCGAGCTATCGAGGTGAAACGTTGATTGTTTTTCTACAACGTCATGGATTAAAAAATTTTTATTTTACTGTGTAAGTATATTATTTTAAATGTCCACGCCGTGATTCTGGATTATGCTAAGAACAAGATAAGTACATTTAAAACAATACACTTTCACACAATAAAATAAAAATTTCAAAATCTATGACGTAGAATAATGATCAGTCTCACCTCGATAGCTCAATATATATACGTCCAGCCTCTCGAGAGATCTAACTTGTTTAATCAACATTGTAATAACTTTTATGCATAGAACTCTTCGTAGAAATAAAAAGTGATTACAAACTGACACGAAATGTCACTTGAAATCGATAGAATTATCGACATACGACCAGCGTCTCACCTTTATACTCGAAAAAATACGTTTTTCAGGTAAAATAATTTTTTAAAAAAAGGTCTAATTGTTGTAACCATCAGAACTCTTTGGAAAGATATTGTGCATGCCCAGAACTATACGAGAGCTAAGTTGGAATAAACAGAACTCTTGAAAATAGGCCGGCGTCTCATCTGTATATCTATAGATATAAGGATTCGCTTGTTCCTTATTTTATCTTTATTGATATTTTTTTGCTTTTAAAAGGCAGAACTCTTCTTAGAACTCTTGTAGAACTATAAATCTTTTAATTTCCAACAATTATTGATAAGGAAAATGTCGTAGGACAAAGTGAGACGCTGCGTGAAGTTGGCGTCTCAGTTTGTCCTGAGGCATTTTCGTTGGTTTAATGGCCAGAACTATTTGTTTAAACTATCAGGAACTCTAGAACTATTGAAAATAAAGTCAGAACTCTTAATTATTTGTGAGTTTCCGCGAAATGATACGCCAGCTTCACACACACCTATACATACATAAATATATTAAGTATTTGACATTTCTTTGTATTTTGAGTGACAGATAAAGCTTAATAATGTGGAGACTGCTTCCGCGTATCTATCACTTGACTCATTGTCAGTAACGTGTACGTGTGCGCTTTCTAGTCTATTTATAGCTTTTTCATCACTTCATATCGCTGCCACGCGCAAGCTTCTCTTGTTTTTCGAAAAATATCATGAAACG